AATTACAATAATTTTATCCTCCAATCTTACAGTCTATCTTTTTCACAGCTTACCGTGTCAGGGATACATGAAGAGTAAACAATTTTTCTGAAAACACCTAACTCTTTATGTGTGATAATAAATTTTTCTTAGTTTGTCACCCAATCCCCACTTTTGAAAGTCAGTTCAGGGGATCTTTCTACTTTCAGTCATGTAAATGTTACAAGTATTCGAATCCTATAGATTTAACAAGTAAAGTGATTCAGGGTGGAAATAGGGAAGCAGGAGTATAGATCTTAATGATATCAGAATTTTTAAATGCCCTGTTTAATAATCTGATTAAGAGACCACTTTTACAGTAATAAAATATTCTATTGCTTCCAATTCACGTTTATTGCAATCATATCACGACCTTCACCTCTGTTATCCAAGACAGGTGTATTTTTCTCTATTTTATCTCATATGGAATAAGGGTAGAAGACTTTGCTCCTAATTGAAGATGTCAGACATGACCTGAAGCACTTTTTTTTTTTTTGCTTTACCGTTCTTATCTAATCAAGAAATGTTTCCCTTTCATTTTCATTTCTGTTTTATAATTCATATTTCTTTAGAGCAAAGGCCACTGACTTAGCAGCAGGTCTCTTTTTCTCGAGCCATATCGTAACCTTAAGTGCAATTTTGAATTCAGGTTCTGTAGGAGATTATGTTAGGATTTCTGAAACTATGCACACATGAAGCAATGCTCTTTAAATTAGTCTTCCTGTCAACAGATCATTCTTTCAGGCTATCACTAAAAATGTTCAAAATAAACCAACCATTCTGCCATGTCTCTTGTGATTTCTGAATCAACTTGGAATCATCCCAAATACATAGGCTCGGCCATCAGTCCCGTGTGGCTGGGCAGAGCCAGCATATGAAGGCAGCCCTCTCTCCAAGACTAGATCCACTGAAAGAGACATGTCACAGTAACATCTTCTACAAGTAGACTTCTGGCCTGCATGCATGTTAGAGAACTCGCCCACTAGTTAACCACTTCTTAGGACCCGGGGCTTATCCATCCTGATATCCCTAGATCCTAACCACCCTATCATATGGCAAGTGTTCTTTCACCAAGTGTCAATGCTTATGGACACTAATGAGGCACAGAGTACCTGCTGGGCATGGGGGAATTAGGAGGAAACAGAGATGGACAAAGCTACCACTCTGAGTGGTCAATGCTGACGAGGAAAGCTGTGCAGGGCACTGAAAGCAAGGGCTGGTCATTTCACCTCTGCTCTGAGGATGTCACTGAAGGCTGCCTTGAAGCCACATTGCTTAAACTGAGATGTGAAAAAGACGTGGGAGTTCGCCAGTGGAGAGGAGCGACAGGAATGTTCCAGACAGGAACAACATTAAAGACAAGGCACTTAATAAAGCTTGATGACCCAAGTTGATTGAAAGTCTCCTTTTGTAAATAATGAGAAAGTGGGCCAAACCCTGGGGACCAGAGTTCACTTAATGCATTTTTTATATGAAATAACCATGTTATTATTCCTCATACATATTCTTATGTGGAGATTCTTGACATGAACATCTTTGATGTAATGGTGGGTATATCTGAGAATAAACCCAATCTTTTTAAACTCCTATCCACTTGAAAGTGTCTTTTCTGTGTTTTTTCCCCAGATTACAGACGCTCAGTTGCAAAATGCTCGATGTGTCCTGCAGATTGATAATGCTAAACTGGCTGTTGAAGACTTCAGACTGAAGTAGGTGCTCTAAAACCACAGCAAAACTTACAGGAAAAGAATTCCTTTTAGTAGTCCTTCAGAAATCCACATTGTTGGTGGAGAAACTGCCATTAAATGTTTTCAGAATCATAAGACATAAGGGATGTTAGAAGCTACCTAATCCAGCCCAACATTCAGGGATAGACCTCTCTTCCACAGTCTTAAGATTTGGCCACCTAGTTCATAGCAGAATACCTCCGATAATTGCTACTGCTCTTGTTGGTTAGCTCTGGTTGCCCAAACATTCTTTTTCAGAAACCTGGCATCTGCCTTTTCACCCACTGAATCTTATCCTGTCCTTTGGCTTAATAACAAAACAGCTTGAAATTCCTTTTCTGTACAAATGCCCTTCTGTTACCTAAAGAGAGTCAGCTGTCTACATTTAGTGAACCTCCAAGCAGATACCCAGATTCCTTCAAGAACCTACATGTATGGTGACCCTCGATACTTACTAGTTTACCAGTGTTTTACAATATTGTTTGACCAACCAAAGAGCTAAGACAAACCTATGATTAATGCATTTCCAATGTGTTCACTTGCTTTGAGTCCTGGAATGCATGTGATCAAACTACTCCCACACTGGGGCTTCCTCATCCTGAATCTGTATCAACAAAAAAAGTCCTTTGTGGCTTAGAAGGGTAGCATTTTAATGCTAAAGGGATTAAAAAGAAGGAAATGGGGGGGGGAGGGTTATGGCTCAGTAGTAGAGAGCTCCTCTCCAGAGACCTTGGGTTTGATTCTCAGCACCACGTAAAAAATAAATTAGTGAAATAAAGGTATTGTGACCAACTATAAAATAAATATTTTTTTTAAAAAAGAAGGAAATGGGAAAGTATATCTGAAGATTAAAGCAGTAAAAGTTCATTAATTCCAATTTTATAGGTCAGCATCAGAGCGATCCACTGCATTATCATTGTTTTAAAGTTTGTTATTTTTTAAAAATGAGGATCTCTAAGAATGCAGAGGAGGATATCTGACCATTCGAGGCACATCTGTTTACTAAGTAATAAAAATAAATGGATCATGTGCTTTCATTAAGCAAAGCCAGCCATAATTAATATCAATAATAAGAATCATTTTCTAACACAATAATTAAAACAAATGTTTGAAATTTTTCTTTTAATATATCTGGACACGGTGGCTCAAGCTAGTCATTCCAGTGGCTCTGGAGGCTAAGATAGGAGGCTCTCAAGTTCAAGTTCAGCCTCAGCAACTTAGCAAGGCCCTAATGCAACTTAAGAAGACCATGTCTCAATTAAAAACAAAAAGGGCTGGGGATGTAGCTCAGTGGTTAAGCACCCCTGGGTTAAACCTCCAGTGCAAAAAAAAAAAAAACTTAAAGAATGTAGAAACTTTTTAAGTTATTGCAAATCACAGAGATTACATTATGGAGCAAATTATCTGATTCCTAGGTTCTCATGCATATTTCATAAATGTGTAAAGGGAGACTTATAAAGTATTGCAACTGATCACATATTCCACATAAAAAAATCTATCTCACTATATTAGATTCTCTCTCCTATAATGACTTCAGAAGGGCTCAGCCTCAGCTGTCTCTGCACACTAATTCATTCACAGGTTTGAGACTGAGAGGGGGATGCGCCTAACAGTGGAGGCTGATCTCCAAGGCTTGAGTAGGGTCTTTGATGATCTAACCCTAAGAAAGACAGACTTGGAGGTCCAGATTGAAGAGCTGAACAAAGACCTGATTCTCCTCAAAAAAGAGCATCAGGAGGTGAGAAAATGATCAGAACTGGTTCTGGGGATGATGGAATGGCTCCAATAAGAAGAAGAAAGAGGAGGAGGAGGAGCAACAGGGGAGGAGGAACGGTTGGTGGTGGTGGTGGTAGTGACCAGGATGAAGATGTCAATAATGATGGCAGCCCTCGCTCCTTTTCATAAGGCTGCTCTAGGTCAGATGACATAGAGCAATACCTGGACCCCAGAAGCCAGGCATAAGTTTTTATTCTCCTTCTTTTTTACGCATCCCCAATGAAAGCAGCCATAGACGTCTTCTGTCTTCTCTGTCCAGCCTTATCTAAGAATGTGCTCCACACTAAAGTCAGGATTTTCACTCTCTTAGGAAGTGGACGTCCTGCGCCGGCAGCTGGGCAATACCGTCAATGTGGAACTGGATGCTGCTCCAGGCCTGAACCTCGGTGACATCATGAATGAGATGAGACAGAAATATGAAGTCATGGCCCAGAAGAACCTTCAAGAGGCCAAAGAACAGTTTGAGAGACAGGTAACAGAATACTTCCCCAGTGTGAGCAAATGCATAGAAGCTGCCTTCCCAAAGGAGATCACTTGCTTCCTTGCTCCTTCCTTTCTTCCTCCCTTCTTTCCTTCCTGCTTTCCTTCCTTTCCTTACTCATATATATATTTTTTTCCATTCTTGGAATTTCAGACGGAAGCTCTGCAGCAACAAGTCCTAGTGAACACAGAAGAGCTAAAAGGAACGGAGAGTCAAGTTACAGAGCTGAGACGCACCTATCAGAACCTAGAGATAGAACTCCAGACCCATCTCAGCATGGTAAAGCACAGCTCCCTCCCACTTTGCAATCCAGCGAGTGTTTACCAAGTGTGAGGAACCCTGGGAATGCAAAGACCTCTAAGAAATAACCTCTCCCCTGGCAAAGCCAACGGGGAAACAGGTCAAACAACTAGTAAGAATTAAAAGACAGAAAGAAATCGAGGAAAGGGCAA